GTGGTGTTCCTGCTCCGCTGGGTGCACTCTGTGCTCATCCCTCTTGGAGCCAGCTTTGGGAAGAGAAGGTCACAACAAGACATGGTCCTCAAGCTGCTTCTGCTGTGGAGGAGCTGGTGGGAGAGTCACAGAGTGATGCGGGATTGGAAGGGGCCTCTGGAGATCATCCAGTCCAACCTCCCTGCCAAAGCAGGTCCACCCAGAGCAGGTTGCATAGGAACGTGTCCAGGTGGGTTTTGAATGTCTCATCTTCTGCGGCATGAGAAGATGAGGTCCTCGTCTTCCACGGCACAAGAAGATGAGCCCATCTCTTGTGGGGAGGAGCAATGAGTCTGTACCCACTGTGCAAATGAGCTTTCACTGAGGGCTTACACGCCTGCAGTTGGATTTCCCTGCCTTGGGTGGGAGTTTCTCACCGGATGCCTCAAGATTTGACATGTCCCTCTTGTCCAATGTCTCTCCATTGGATTGGAGTTACCCCCTGGAGGTAAAATGGTCATTTCTCACCCTTCGGTCTTTGTCATCTGGAAACAGCTGCTGGTTCCCAGAAGGAATGAAGAAATTGTTAGTGCATGTGATGCTGGGTTTTGTACTGCTGACACCCCTCCCTTGTTTTCATTTGGTCTTCAAGATCATCAGTTTCTTATTTTAATTGTCCTTTGTACAGCACCTCTCACTTTTCTAAGCAGTAGGCTTCAGATAGGACAGTTTATTACACCAGAATTAATAATGCGAATATTAAATACTGGTTTCACTGTGAGTCTCTGCTGAGGATCTCTCTTCAGTTTGATGGTTTCTTCTTTCCTGAGTCTTTCCAGGACAGCTCTCCTTCATCTCCTCTTCAGTCAGTCCTTGCACATCCCATGGATAACCAATTTCCCTGTGATACCACTTCAGCTTTGCCCTGAATTAACTTGGGAAATATTTAGTATCAGTTGGCATTAAAATAAAACCCTTACTCCTGCTCTCTCACGACGGTGTCTGCTCACTCTGGCTTTGGGGGTGGTGGTTCCACACTTTGCTTGTGCCACGTCAGAGGCTGGGGCAGGGCTGGGCCCGGAGGAGGAGACGTGGCCGTCGGGCACTGGTTTATACTGATAATTCACCTTTTATTGCTGGGCAAAAGCTTTATGGGGCCTGAACCCTCCTGCTCCCCTTGCTGAGGCTGGAGCTCCGCTGTCTGTAGACCAAGAGACAATTCAGGGCTTCTTGGCGCCTTCCAATGGTGTAAAAAGCAAGATTTTTAATAGTCAGGGGTCTTGTCTCATGCTCTGGTGTGGGCTCTGCCCACTTTGAAATCCTTTTATTTATGATCCCTTGGCGAAGGCAGTGTGGGTTTGTTTGCTGGCGTTGCTGGGGAGCGCTACATCACGGCAAACAGCTCGCTTAAACGCTGCAAAACACGGGAAGAGTTCAGTGTATTTGGGGCAGTTTTGTATCTTGGCTCTTTATCATTCAGCGGGTTCATTTTTCAAACCACGTACGTGTGATAGGAGCTGTATTGATTCATAAATTTCACTTGAGGGATGAAGTGCTGCTTTGGCTAATGGGGAAGAGAACGGAGCTCTGGAGATCCCAAGGTGGTGTCCTGGAATTAGTGGACAATCTCGGCCTTTGGTCACTGTACTGCTTTAAATCCTTAGATATTGGGAATTTTGCCCCCTTACACCCTGGTTCATGTTTATGAAATACTTGGTAACTCTAAAAGGCTCCATGAGGAGCTGCATTTGGTGTTCATGTAAGGGTTATTTTCCTTTTTCCTCTTGGCCACATGCATGATAGGACCATCTACAAGTGCTGTCCCCGTTCCTGCTCCTGCATGACACAGGTCTGTGGGAGGGGGATTCTCCTCCTTCCGCCACCTAAAACTGTGCAGCCTTTCCCAGAGAGGCTCTGGCATCCTCAATTTTATGTGCAAAGACTTCCCTAAGGTGATATTTCAGTGTTAAAATGAAGTAGTGTGTGCTGTGTGTAGAGCTGAGAGGAGCTGGACTTGGGCAGTTTAGGGCAGGCTTCCCATGGAGGCTCCTTACGTAATCCGTGTTTCATAAATTCTGTTTAATCTTACTTGGTATAAAATGACCTTGTAGATTTAGGAGGGAAGTTTGTGATTGCAGCTGCTGCCTTTTAAAAAGTCTAAATATAAGCAGATTTTGGGAAAGCATGAAAAATTATCGGTGGTGTTTTCTGCAATTTGAATGGAAAGGCAGAACTCTGGGATCTCATTAGTGCTGGAGCGTTGTGGGCAGCTGCTGGTGGTGTTCCTGCTCTGCTGGGTGCACTCTGTGCTCATCCCTCTTGGAGGCAGCTTTGGGAAGAGAAGATCACAACAAGACATGGTCTTCAAGCTGCTTCTGCTGTGGAGGAGCTGGTGGGAGAGTCACAGAGTGATGCGGGATTGGAAGGGGCCTCTGGAGATCATCCAGTCCAACCTCCCTGCCAAAGCAGGGCCACCCAGAGCAGGTTGCACAGGAACGTGTCCAGGTGGGTTTTGAATGTCTCATCTTCTGCGGCATGAGAAGATGAGGTCCTCGTCTTCCACGGCACAAGAAGATGAGCCCATCTCTTGTGGGGAGGAGCAATGAGTCTGTACCCACTGCGCAAATGAGCTTTCACTGAGGGCTTACACGCCTGCAGTTGGATTTCCCTGCCTTGGGTGGGAGTTTCTCATGGGTGCTGCAAGATTTGACACGTCCCTCTTGTAGAGTTGTCTCTCCATTGGATTGGAGTTACCCCCTGGAGGTAAAATGGTCATTTCTCACCCTTCGGTCTTTGTCATCTGGAAACAGCTGCTGGTTCCCAGAAGGAATGAAGAAATTGTTAGTGCATGTGATGCTGGGTTTTGTACTGCTGACACCCCTCCCTTGTTTTCTCTCTCCATTGGATTGGAGTTACCCCCTGGACGTAAAATGGTCATTTCTCACCCTTTGGTCTGTCTTTGTCATCTGGAAAGAGCTGCTGGTTCCCAGCAGGAATGAAGAAATTGTTAGCTCATGTGGTGTAGGGTTTTGTACTGCTGACACCCGTCCCTTGTTTTTATTTGGTCTTCAAGATCATCAGTTTCTTATTTTAATTGTCCTTTGTACAGCACCTCTCACTTTTCTAAGCAGTAGGCTTCAGATAGGACAGTTTATTACACCAGAATTAATAATGCGAATATTAAATACTGGTTTCACTGTGAGTCTCTGCTGAGGATCTCTCTTCAGTTTGATGGTTTCTTCTTTCCTGAGTCTTTCCAGGACAGCTCTCCTTCATCTCCTCTTCAGTCAGTCCTTGCACATCCCATGGATAACCAATTTCCCTGTGATACCACTTCAGCTTTGCCCTGAATTAACTTGGGAAATATTTAGTATCAGTTGGCATTAAAATAAAACCCTTACTCCTGCTCTCTCACGACGGTGTCTGCTCACTCTGGCTTTGGGGGTGGTGGTTCCACACTTTGCTTGTGCCACGTCAGAGGCTGGGGCAGGGCTGGGCCCGGAGGAGGAGACGTGGCCGTCGGGCACTGGTTTATACTGATAATTCACCTTTTATTGCTGGGCAAAAGCTTTATGGGGCCTGAACCCTCCTGCTCCCCTTGCTGAGGCTGGAGCTCTGCTGTCTGTAGACCAAGAGACAATTCAGGGCTTCTTGGCGCCTTCCAATGGTGTAAAAAGCAAGATTTTTAATAGTCAGGGGTCTTGTCTCATGCTCTGGTGTGGGCTCTGCCCACTTTGAGTTATGATGAACAGGTAACAAGCATTAAGTTACCTGCAGTTAATGTTATTCTCACAGGCAGGTTACTTGGACAAGAGTAATGGAAAGGAGAACATTTTTTTGGGGAAAAAGTAGGTTTTTTGAGAGGTTTCTGAAATTGTGGTATTACAAGGATGGGGTATCTGCGTAAAAACAATAAAACCTCACAGTATTTCACATAATTTTTGCAAAATATTATGGTTTAATCATTTTTGGGAAAGAATAATTTTTTTAAAAAAACAATCACACACAAAAAACGGTTACTTGGACAAGAGTAATGGAAAGGAGAACATTTTTTTGGGGAAAAAGTAGGTTTTTTGAGAGGTTTCTGAAATTGTGGTATTACAAGGATGGGGTATCTGCGTAAAAACAATAAAACCTCACAGTATTTCACATAATTTTTGCAAAATATTATGGTTTAATCATTAAAGAATAATTTTTTTAAAAAAAACAAACACAAAAAAACAAACCAAGAAGAAAGCTTGCTATTTTGTTCCGGATGTCTAAGTTGATACCCAAATTCTCAAATTTCTCCTATATGGAAGTTCTCCAGAAAAATTGCAAAACCCTGATATTTTTCTTTCTTAAAAATAAGCAAGAAACTGAAAAGCTTGTACAAGCCAGATCATGTTAATGTGACCTGAAGGTGTCCCTTGCCAATTGCAGACCCTGAGATGCCCCGTGTATGTTGGTTGGCACCTTCCTCTTGCGCTCCAGCTCCCTCAGCCACCCCTGGCTTATCTGAGGGTTTGGGAAAAGAAGGGGAAAAAGCTGTTCTTGTGTCTGGTGCAGTTGTGAGTTTATGTGGAATTGTTTTTTTTTTTCTTTTTGTAAATAGATACTAATTACTTATACCAAACCAAGAAGAAAGCTTGCTATTTTGTTCAGGATGTCTAAGTTGATACCCAAATTCCCAAATTTCTCCTATATGGAAGTTCTCCAGAAAAATTGCAAAACCCTGATATTTTTCTTTCTTAAAAATAAGCAAGAAACTGAAAAGCTTGTACAAGCCAGATCATGTTAATGTGACCTGAAGGTGTCCCTTGCCAATTGCAGACCCTGAGATGCCCCGTGTATGTTGGTTGGCACCTTCCTCTTGCGCTCCAGCTCCCTCAGCCACCCCTGGCTTATCTGAGGGTTTGGGAAAAGAAGGGGAAAAAGCTGTTCTTGTGTCTGGTGCAGTTGTGAGTTTATGTGGAATTGTTTTTTTTTTTCTTTTTGTAAATAGATACTAATTACTTATTTTATGTGTTTGTTTATTTTAGGGATAGACTTCAAGATTAAAACCGTTGAATTACAAGGAAAGAAGATCAAGCTACAGATCTGGTGAGTAATGGATCTGGGAAGCTGCAGGGTGATGCCCTGCTGGTGGCTGCTTTCAGAGGCAGGTTTTCCTGAGAAGGGTTTACTCTTTTGGAGATTGCACTCAAGTATCTAATTTTGTAACCGTGTTTTGTATTTTTCCCTAAACTTTTTTTAAGAGATGTTTGGTGTGGTTTCTAACCACGGTTACTGGCTGCTCCCGTGGATGGGCTGCTGGCGAGTCTCCTGGTTGGGAGGACGGGATCCTTGCAGTCTGTGATTTAGTGGGAAGTGTTTGAAAACTGGGATTTTTTAAATTAGGAGCTGCCTCGAATTTATGGTTGTAAATTGACTGGTCACCATGCTTTGCATCAGCAAGAAAGTGCAATCCACGTCTGCCCTTATTTTGTGTTTTTCTGTAGTAAACTGTGGGGAGTTTCTCAGCTGGCCAACAAGGTGACAGCTTTTCTGTAGGAAAGTCCAACCTGAGACAAAACTGAAGCTCCTTTGGCTTCCTGTGTGTGTCTGACTAGAGACTTGTCTCCTGGTTTAATAGCCCTGTAAGAAATAAGCTGAGGGAAGCTGACGGCTTCTCCTGCCCTCTGTTTTTGTACTCGTACACGTGTCGCTGCTGCGTTCTCCAGCTCTACTGAGACTTCAAAACTTGAATTGGTTTGGAACTTGCATTTACCCGTTTTGCCCCCCCATTGATGAAAATCTTCTATGGTTTGGTAACATTGAGGTTTGTAGATGCAGATGGATGGGTTCCAGTTAGAAGGAGACACTGGTCCTCCTCTGTCTGGTCAGTCATTCCATTGCCCTAGGACCTGCTGAATTATCATCCTTCCTAAGGAGTGTATTCTGAATCCCCCTCATTACCACCCCTCAGAGCGTGCTCCTTGTCTCCTGGCCGTTTCTCATGTCCTGGTCCTGTGAGCAACTCCTTAGCAGAAGTTGGCCAACTCAGTTATTTTGGTTTATGCCCTGCAAGGGAAAGGGTTGTGGAAGTTGGTTTTGTTGTATAAACTGTGTGGCCGGTGGATGAGGAAGCACAGGGAGGATGAAGTAACTCAGTGTGCTGGGACGCTCCAGCGGGGAAGCCACCAAAGGTCACCGTCCTCGTGAGGGCCAGGTCTTAGATGGAGATGTCTGAGGAAGGACAATTGGTCGGTGGTGTATTTTTTACCCCAACAGGCAGGTGCTGTGAGTTACCCTGGGACAGGAGGGTGGGACAAAACATTGGAGTGACTTAAAGGAACCATTAGATTAAACTTTAAAAGTCATGATGAAATGTAAAACCTCAAAATATGGAATACTGAGGGTTTTCAATGTATAGGTAGGCGAGGCAGCAAGGCTTAGGGAAGCAGTGTGCATTGTGGGGTTAGCAGCTCGGGGAAATGAAGAGGGGTTTGGGTGAGCTGAGTTGTATGAAATTGCAGCTTTTAAACATTGCAGAGTTGGGAGGTTGTTGTCCGAGTCTGCTTCTTGTTCCTGCCAGTTTAAAACTTCACATTTGAGATGAAACTTGGAAAGCAGAAAAAGAAGTTCCTACGGCATGCACTTCTGATGGAAAAAAATAAATGTAAAAAAAATAATCTAGGCTTTGTAGTTTAAACTCTTCCTGTACAAGGAGCTTTGCCCAGCAGTGGTTTGGTGGCTGGAACAGTAGTGTCTTTTGGTGAAGATGTTTTGTGCGATGCGTCTATATTTAACCACGGCTTCCTGTACTTAAACTCACCCTGTACTTGTACTTGTGTAACACATTTCCAGAAGGGCCCTGGCTCCCACTGCAGCGGTTCAGGGAGCGAGGGACGCTTCAGGGGAACGTTTCCTGTGTGAACCCGAGGTTCTCCTTGCCTCTTCCTTTCCACATGTGGAAATTCCCTGTTATATGCAAGCTCTTGCATTTAGGAAGCGTGGTGGTGAACAGCCAGAGCTGTGACAGCACCGCAGACTAGGCTACCATCAGTCTCATTCATTTTTGTTATTACCCTAAGAACATCTAAAAGTGAACTCTTGCTGCTGAGGTCTTTGGAGACCATTCACCATGTGCCTGGCTTCAGGTGGAAGATAATCTTGGCACATCAGTCTGACTTCCTAGAAAACAATTAGACCCTTCACTCATCACAGATTTTTTTTATTATTATTATGTCTTTGGAGACCATTCACCATGTGCCTGGCTCCAGGTGGAAGATACTCTTGGCACGTCAGTCTGACTTCCTAGAAAACAATTAGATCCTTCACTCATCACAGATTTTTTTTTTAATTATTTTTTTCCTAGCTGAGTATTTTTCTGAAAAGCTGAAATATCTGACAGATGGTCCTTTGCGAAGGAAAGTCTTGGACCCAGTCACTGAAGCTTCCCGAGTGCCTGGTGTCAGCAGTACAGGTTCTTCAATGGGATATTCTGCTGCACCGTTTAAAAAAAAAATTTAAGTAGAAACAATGGGACAGTAATAAAATTCTTAGGATTATTTTGCTAGGAATTATTTGGTTTAATACGTTGAAGACCTTTATTTTGAGCTCTGTGGACTGGAAGGATCTTCACAAATCATCAGATATAATCTCTTCTTGTTGCACCCGTGTAAATATTTCATAAGCAAATCATAGTACATTTTGAGGTTTCTTTAGTCTCTGCTAGGTCAACCGGAAAGCTGTCCCAGAAATTCCTTTCTCTCTTGGTTAAACCTCTAAGATGATACAGCTTATGCATACTTTAATGTTGGCATGAGAATAATTTAAATAGATTTTTCACTTTCCCTGGGCTTCTCCTTTCCCTCATCCCACAGGATGACCTTCTTTGTCTCCATTTTGCAGCTAAAAAACCCGAGTTTGGTGTTTCCTCCTGTGCAGCAGGGCTTCCTTTTCCTTGGCTGCCTTAATAGTCCTTGTCTACGTTTATTTGAGCTCGGAGAGCCAGCTGGCTTCCACACCATCCTGCCTGCATGAAGGATTTATTGCACACCCCTAGCTTTGGAGAGTGTTCTTACATCCTAGAGGTTGGAGCAGAGGATGGAAGGGCAGGCCAGTAAACACGGCGTGTGGGCTCCTGTCGTCTCCTGCCGTTTGCCCAGGGTGGGTTCATCAGTGGGAGGCAGCTTGAAAACCATAACTCATTTCCTCTGTTTGCTCCGGCCGGGTCTCTAATCTCACATCCATTAAGAGTTATCTCTGAATAATGAATGGGGAATCCATTAAGAAGGGGAAAGGGCAAGCGTAGTACCTATTTAAAAAAAAAAAAAGGGGGGGGGGGGGAAGCACTCCAGGTTCTCTGCTTTTTCCCTCCCCAGCTTTCTTTTGGCAGAAAAAGCCTGGGAGGAGTTAAGGGAGCAAGGCAGCTGTAGGCGCGTGGGATGTGACAAGCAATGAGTAACAACTAAGTGTGGCCAACGCCAAATTGTGTAAAATCAATCTCAATTCTTCCTGTGAGGGCTGCTGGCCTTGTCAGGAGGGGAGGAATCCCCGATGTCGTGTGGCTTGATGTCTCCGGGGGAGCTTTTCTGAGGCTGTCCTGCTGGCTGTAAGCAAGGTGGGGGGAGTGACTGGGGTGAAGATGCTGTCAAGTGGGTACAGAGCTCCCCATGAGAGAAAACAAATGATGGATAAAGGTTCTGTGGAGATATTTTGCAGGAGCCTGTCCCGGGTTTCATGAGAGGCAATATTTTCTTTAATAGGAGATAAGGGAATAGAGGGTATGGTTATTGTCTTTAAGCAGGAAACAATGAAGTTGCACAGTAAAAATTGTATTGAGGACTGGATTATAATTCAAAGTGCTTTTGACTGATTGGAGAAATGTCATTGGAAAAAAACCCAAGTCCTGTGAAATTCAGTAGAGAGAAATGCAAGGTTGTCAAGTTCAGTATAATCAGTGTAATCAATTATTCAAATGTCATAAAAATCTGCTTAATCATGAGGAAAGGGAGTGGAATGCATAAACAGACACGTGCAATGTTCTAGCAGATATTCCTGTGTGAGGAGGACAGCTCCAGCTGGAGCAGTGTCCTGGGTTTTCCTTGGACATGGGCAAGTTGGAGCCAGTACCGAGAGAGCAGCAGGTGAGGCTGCCTATCTTAGACCTTTTGCCAGTAAGTAAGGTCTAAAGAACTTGAGGTGGCTTGAGAAGATTCACAGAAGCTGCAAGAGCTGTGTTTGAGTGTGCAGAAAGTGGTTGTAGAAAGAAGGGAGATGAACTCCTCTACCTCTGAAGTGTCAGACAAGGATGGACGGCCTTACTTTGCAGTAAGGAAAGCCCCAGTGTGCCGTCAGGAGAGGCTTCCAAACGGGGCAGAAAGGAAATGGGAGCCTGGGATTCAAGCCAGCATTCGTCAGGTCTTCAGCAGAACATCAGGACCTTTGAAGGACGATGTGGGTGTCCCTCAGCGTTCGTGGAGCCAGGGACTGGACTCGCTGGCCTCTGGAGGCTGCAGCAGCGATCAGACCTCTGCACTGCGTGGCCTGGTACCACACCTCTGAACAAAGCTGTGCTCAGGTTTGGGACCTGCCCTATTCCTCCTCCTCTGCTCTTTGCCTTCTTCCTGGGGTTTGTCAGCTGCTGGGAGGAAACAAAAGTCTCGGGAGTAATCAGCCTCAAACCCCTCATCTATGGTCTGAGCCAGACCAAGGAGACTCTTGGAGAAGAAACTTTGTAGAGCGTTTCCCCTGCATCTCAGGAACTTTTCCTCCATGGCATCTTCAGATTTTGAGGCTTTTCATTTAGTCCCCATTTGCCAACTGATCCTCGGCCAGAAATGTGACGTGTGCTTAAACAAATTGATTTGGCAACTACAGTCAGCGTCTGTTGGGTCAACGGTAGGTGACGGGGCGGTGGGGAGAGCCCAGTGTTCCCAGGACTCGGTGCCTGGTGGTGCCCGTGTCCTGCCAAGGCACTGGCTGTGACCTCGGGAGCAGCTGGGAGTTCAGCTCCAGTCTGTGATCTGTTCTGAGGTTACTGGTTTGTGAGCCGAGGAAATGTGGGTCTGTGGGTCAGGGGGGAACAGCGTGTCCTTCTGAAGGCGGGTAGGGAAGGTTCAATCTGCGTTTTGACCAGTTTAAATTGGGAGACACCTTTGATTCTACCTTGTGTGAATAGTGTCACTGAAAACTGTCTGTGAACACGTCACCTCTTGGGTTTATCTCCTCTCAAAGACACTGGAATACACAGTTAACTCTTAATTCTCAATTAATGGCATGTGAGTTTGTTTAATCAAATCTCACACATTCCATCAAAGATCTCAAAATCAGATGGGAAGCACATACTGTCATTGATCTTGCGTGACCGATTTTCAGTATATTGCCTATAGAGATTGATGTTTTAATGGTACATCTTCTAGACTTACTTGTCATAAACATTGGCCTAAAATTTTAGGAACATAAATATGTAAGATCATGTTAAAGCATGATTTTTATAAAACTGATCTAAAACCAGAGTTCTTCATGGTTTCAAGTCCGAGTTCCAGAAATGGTGAGTGATTGTCATCATGGCTGCTCAGCAGCTGCTGAAATGGAAAGGGATCTTCTTGGCCATGGTGGTGGCATTGAGTGGGCGGTTGGGTCAGGTGCAACAGAGCACCTCCTGGGCCACACACACTTCTCTAACAGATAAACCATGCTGTCTCTTTCGAGCTTGTCTCTGATACCTCCTCTTGTTTTGTTTTCTGCAGGGACACGGCGGGGCAGGAACGATTTCACACCATCACCACCTCCTACTACAGAGGTGCCATGGGGATCATGCTAGTATACGACATCACCAATGCCAAGAGCTTTGAAAACATCAGCAAGTGGCTCAGAAACATAGATGAGGTGAGTAACGTCTGTAAGATCCCAGAATGGAGCTGCTTGTGACCCGTAGAGCGTGTGATGAGTCCTACAGAGCTCAGCTTCAGCTCCTACTCTGGCAGAACATGTAAATGGACACAAGCTGGTGTTCCGTGGTTGTCCTATGTTTTCCCCCTCGACTCTTTCCACAACAATGGCATGAAGGATCACAACGCTACACAGGGGCTGGTGACTGAAATGTCACACTCATAGATGAGCAAATTTGGTTTCTGTGTGGAGAATACTTGGAGGTGAGGAATATATACCTTGCAGGAACTGGGAGTTGTGGTTTTCAGGAGCTGCCACCACAAGGGGGTGTGTGGAGGAGCGATACTCAGCCAGAGCTGTAGAGCAGCTACAGGGTATGTCACTTCTGGTCCTAGCCTATTTTATAAGGACAACTCTGTAAATCCTCAAGGATAACTAAATACGGTCGCCTCCCCTCCCTCCACGTTGCCCTCATGAAAAATGAGCAGGTTTACCATGGCTGTTGCAGGTGGGGTGGGAAACCGCTGGGGTTGGGATTAGCAAACTACTCCAACCTGCCCGATTTCTGTCCTTGGTAGAGGACAAAAGAGGACAGACAAGGCGCTTGGTGATGTTTCAAGCAAGATCAAGTGAAGCAGAAGAAACTGATGTGGAAACATTGAGTGCCTGCATCCCCGAGAGTTCATTCTCCGGGAGTTCAGAGATGTCAGAGAGCAGCACAACTCTCAGTTCTTGCTTTCCTTGTGCTGTGCCCAAGTGGAATAATTGTTTGGATTTTCCAGCTTTGTTATTTTGCTAGAAAGCGTGAAGCTGGCCCTGTGGAACGGGGTGTCAGTCAGTGGGTGCTGGCAGGCGTTGGGGGTTGAAGCACTGAGGCTGGGGAAAGGCTGTTACAGAGCAAAAATGGGATATCGGGATTTTAGTTTCCCAGCAGGAGAAATGGGAAACTCCTGTTTATGGAAAGATACATATTTTGGTGGGTACAGAAGGGGGGAAATAAGGGAGAACAGGAAGACACTCAGCGACGAGTTGAATGTAAACTTGAAGCCAAAGCCTTTAGATGCTGCTGTTGCTTTGTTTAAAAGAATCCAGTAGTATCCAGGAAGTCGTGGGATGGATGTCGTTCCTACCATTGTGTCCCAGAAAGGGGTGGTTTTGCTGACCTCACGTTTCCAGATCAGCGTCACACCAACCTCCGCCACGGATTCCAGGCGTGGTGAGGGCTGTGTGGTTCCTGCGGGTTTCCCAGGGACGTGGGACACCCTGGGCAGCTGGTTCTGTCACGGAAAAGGCTCGGTATCGGGGCAGGTTTGCAGAAGTGCCGAGCAGAGTCATCCTCTGCGCTGCCAGCACCGGGGTGAGGTCTCTCACTAGAACGTGCGGGTGTTGCCTCCTCGTGTGGAGGATGATTGTGGGCGATAGTTGTGAATGGAGTAACCAAGTGCTTTGGTTTTACAAGGAATTGATATTGCCGAGGATACTCTCTCGAGGAGGAGAATTTTCAGCAAGCGAGCCTGATGTGCTGTTCTGTGCAAGGAGGGGCTTCTACTCCTTGATTAAGCCTTGATTTAGAAACAGCCAAAGACACCTAGAGGTGTTACATCTTCCTCCTTGCTAAATCTGTAATTATTTGAAGTTCACACATCCTTCAGAGGTGAGCTGTGCTTTGGGCTGGGAGGAATTAGCTGAGTTGCTCCAGTGCAGGGGTTTGTGCTTCGGGGCCGGCTGAGTGTGGAAAGGCTGTTGCTGTGTGTGCGTGAAAAGTTAGTGTTTTCAGAGGCTTGTTCTACACGATACCTTAATCTACCTTTGCTGTCTGGTTGCTCTTCCTCCTCGTGAGCTGAAGGAAACAAGCTGGGGGTGGTTCTCCTGAGGGTTTGCAATGGGCTGTTAGGGTAAGCGGGAGCAGTGGGTACATGGATCTCTTGCCGCTGCCCTTCTATTAATAATGCTGCCCTAAAGTCGTGTTAAGGCTGTTGGAGTGAAAGTAAATTCAGATTAGACTTTCCAAGAAGCTTCTCATGGCAGGTTTCAAAGTACTCCAGTTATCCACTTAAGTGATGCTCTGTGCTGGGGCTGCTGGAGCTTCCCTGCTAATCTGGTGGCTCTCTCTGGCGTGTCCTCTCCTTGCTGTGGTGGATATTGGCAGGGTGTCAGTAACGAACAGCCCAGGCTTTTCTGCTCACTTGGAGTTCCCTGAGAAAGCACTGGCACTCGCCTTTGCCCTGCAGAGGTGATTCCTGGTGTCCTGCTGTTCTTTGGATCCTGAGCATTAGCGTGGTGCTCTCTTTGGCTTTCCCTGCTGTACGTGCCATGGGTGTATAACCTGCCATGGGTGTGTGACCTGGGTGCCGTTCCTCAGCTCCGCTGTCAGTAGTTAGCAGACAGAGCTAAAGCACAAAGCTGACCTGGTCTAGCTGTGATAGGCACATTGGAGGAACAGGGTGATGCTAGAGGGCTGTAATTTCCCTTTGTGAGTGAACTTGGTAACTCCTCTAAAAGAAAAATTACCAGCAAAAGGGGTTTTTTACTAACTTCCTGCTTCTTTGGCTTTGTGGTGGTTGAAAGCATAGTTGCAATTTTTAAGGAGACTGATCTGTCTGCAGTAAAACTCTGCAAAGGACCCCTTAAACACCAAAAGAGTGGTAGTGTCAGCTGGGGCCACTCGAGCACACAAAGCTTGGTTATTGGCAGCTGGAGACGTGGGGTGGGTCTTGCCCTGGGATGTTTTGTGGCATCATTTCTGTGAGAAGCACCTGGGCTGCAGAACAGCACTTGGCCTGTCAGAAAGGAAGACCTCACCTTTAAACTACAGAACTAACAGGGAAGGAGGAGAATAACTGGTGCTGGGGTGGCCAGAGAGCTGTGTCACACCCGGGGCTGTTGTCTCCTTCCACGTTCAGGCTCTATGAGCAGTTTTGTCTCAGGGCACTGATTTCTAACGGTCGTTGCTAGGACTTGGGAAAGTGCAGGACTCCCAGAGCTGCAAGTGTTAGCCTGGGCTGCAAACACTCTGCAAACACAAAAGTGAAGTGGATCTTTACTGGGGTCTTGTCTCCTTTCAGCATGCCAATGAAGACGTGGAGAGGATGCTGTTAGGAAACAAGTGTGACATGGAAGATAAAAGAGTCGTCCCTAAAGCAAAAGGCGAACAGGTAAGTGTTGGGCAAAACCTGGCTTATATCAATGTAAGCACTTCACTGCCAGGACCTCCTGCCATCTCCAGGTGGCTGAGATGCCACAGGGGAGTGTGCTGGGGAACACCAGGATTTGCTAACGGTCTGTAAGTCTGGGGAGTGTTTTCTCAGAAGTTGCCATGAATGGAACAAGTTCAGCTGCAGTTCCTGCTTTCTTTGATAACTAACATTTTTCAGGCATGCTTGAAGGTACTTCTCATGTGACAGGCTTGTGTGGTCTCTGTTGTCTTCTGTTCAGAGACTGACTTGTGATTTAATGCACTTTAATTGCTGTTTCTGAATCATTAAGTTCCAGATCTCCCTTTGTGAGACTTTAGCTGGTACTTCTGGTGCCTGGAAGGGTATTAGGTGTTTATAAACGCCGCTAATCCCGACGGTACAGCGGCACCAGCGGGGTAACACTGCAGTAATGCTAACCACCTTCTTTCTTTCTCTTTTTGGTTTAGATTGCTAGGGAGCATGGTATTAGGTTTTTCGAAACTAGTGCAAAAGCAAATATAAACATTGAGAAGGCATTCCTCACATTAGCAGAAGACATTCTTCGAAAGGTAGGTGCTTACAGGGTTTGTTTGAAAAAAGAAAAATAAATCCTAAAATTTCAACTCCTCTCGCTTTTGGTGTTCACCTGAGTTGTTGCAGCCTTTACCTTTGGTGTGCCAAGACAAAGGGGTCACTGAAGGAGGGCTGTTGTGCATCTGAAGCTCTTAAAGCTTGTTTGAAGTTCCGTTATTGTATCTAGAGAGGGTGGTATTCATCACAGAGCCAAGGAATGTAAACTTGTAGCTGTTTGGCCCTTAAGCTCCTGGTTGTGAGCACTTGGAATCAAAATATTTCATTTGGTGTGGAAGAGAATTGTCCTTTCCCTGCCACAGTCTCCATCGATACACAGCATTGTCTAAAGGCTCCGAAGGTGGGGAGAGTTTAGATGTGGTTGATGGAACAGCTAAACGAGATCTCACTTCTACCCTGTTTCCAGTGATGAGCCCTCTCAGCCTCTGCGTTTTGGTGGAGGTTTTGTTGGAAGGGTGTATCTCAACCGAGAGAAGAACATGGATCACCAGTTCTTCTGCTGCTTGGCCACCCCTCCTGACTCGTACAGTGTGCACAGAGCTTGGAGATATCACTGTTCTTGCATCCTTGAGTAGACAATCCATTGCCTTCCCACAGTTGCCACTGGTTTCTTGAGGAATGAGCTGGGCTGGCCTCATGGGTTGGCTCCTGGGCTGGTTCTAGTTAGTTGATGTGCTCCTGTAGCCAAGGACTTGCTGGATCCAGTAACCCCTGTGCTGGCCCACTCCTGCTTAGGGCCAGGCCGTGCCTCTCCACCTCTGGGTGCTCCATGGAGCTTGAGGGACATGGGTTGGCCAACCATAGCATGTGTGCTCAGCTCCTAAACCTGCGTGGTTTGTCAGTGCCCAGTTTAGCAGTAGAGAGACCCCCTTCCCCACCACTTCTTCTGAACGCGATTGGTGATGTCATCCCAGTTAATTGGTTAGAAATTCAGTGCAAGGTCAACGCTGAATATTTTGACAACCCTTCTGAGTACACTTCTGCTCAACGGCAGCTGCTTCGCTGCTGTAGTTCCAACTTGTTTCTTAGCCAGTGTTTGACAAGCTTTGTGTGAGAAACTGGGTGAAAATCTGGTTTTTAGCCTCCATGAACAGGAGCTGAGGGGAGCGAGTCACACTGACTCTTCTGACCTTGAGATTTTTATTTTGGGCCTCAGTGTGTTTATCTGAAGAAGAGGTGGGGGGGTGCTTTGGTGAGGCTGAGCCAAAGAGAATAAGGAAAGGAATTTAG